TAAAAATAAAAACATAAAACTTCTTTATTTATCAAAAGGTAACAAAATTTCAAACAATTATCATTAACCTAATAATTTTTTCTTTCGGAATCTTCAAAGAAATCGACAACATCTAAATCGTTAAGTTATCGAAATCTTCGAGAGGAACATTATCACAAACATTATTTTGATATATAAAATTTTCCTCTATATCACTTTCTTTCTTTTTCCATGAGGCTTGATAAAGCTCAACTAGGTGTTTTGGCGTACGACGAGTACGCGATCAATGTCCCTTCATAAGCACATCTATAACATTCATTTTCGAAGTGCCGACTTGATCCACCTTTATTTTTTTCTTGTTTTTTTTATAATTTATCCACTTCGGGGATGAGGTGTATTATTATTATCACCATGATTATAACGATAATTATTTCGACAACGACTATTGCCACGACCACATCCACGTCCATGGTTACGGCCACGACCACGTCTTCGTCCAAAATTATTATAAGATGTCACATTCACTTCGGGGAATGGAGTAGATCCGATTGGGTGGGATTCATGATTTTTCATCGGTAGCTCGTTATTTTGTTCAGCCACAAGTAGACATGAAATCAATTCGAATATTTCTTAAAACCTTTTTCTCGATATTGCTATTGCAGGAGCATATTCGAGGAATGAAAAGTAGAGAATGTTTTCTCTAACATATCGGAATCGGTAATATTTTCTCCACATAATTTTAGTTGGGAACCGATTCTAAATATCGTAGAATTATACTCACTTATGGTTTTAAAATCTTGTAACCTTAAGTGCATCCAATCATAACGAGCTTTTGGAAGAATTACCGTCTTTTGGTGGTTGTATCTTTCCTCTAAATTTTTTCACAGTTCAAGTGGATCTTTCACTATTAAATATTCAGTTTTCAAATCCTCATAGAGATGATGACGAAGGAAGATCATTGCCTTAGCACGATTTTGCAAGGATTCTTGATTATCATCCATGATTGTTTGTCCAAGGCCATTAGCATTTAAATGTATCTCAGCATGAAGCACCCATGATAAATAATTCTTGCCCGAAATGTCAAGGGCCACAAAATCAAGCTTTGTGAGGTTTGACATGATAAAAATTCTATAATACAAGATATAATAATGATGTTAGAAAAAAAAACATAATAATAATATTCAAACTTCTCAAAACAACATGCATTAGATTATTAGAATATATATTAGATTATTCAAGTTTTCAAATATATATTATATGTACTATTAGATTTAAAATAAAAGATAGATTATGTACATACCTCTTAATAGGCTAGATGATTTGCGTCATTTGGTAGAACAATTGTGCTTTTAATAAAGCTAGATGATTTGTGTCGTTTGGTAGAAAATCGTGCCGATAACGTGTGCTAAAAAATAAAAGATATATGAGAATTTAAAGGAAGGATGACAAAAAGAAGAATCGCTATAAAGTGAATACAAGTGAGAAAAACTTCAAGTTATTCTCTTAATCTCTCTAAAAACTCGTACATCAACAAATGAACAATCAAGCCTATTTATAGGCCTCAAAATCGAGATGAGAATTGGAAGGACTATAAATAATTAAAAGTACATCAATTACATTATCATTTCAATTTCTCATATTAAATGGTGAATCGAATCACATTAAGAATCATGAGTAGTAGGGATATGAAAAATAGATGAATATTCATTATTTTATACCAGTATCGACAGAATCTAATTTTTTTTTTTTAATGAAAGTGGACACGTAGGTAAATTCCACTCCCCCTTTCCAGTCTCCGCGGTCCACATCCCTTTCAAACACGTTCAACCTCTTTAAATCATTCTCAGTCATACAAAAAAACACTCCTCTTCTCCTGTGCCACATACTCTCTCGAATCCCTCTCTCCCTCCCTCTCCTTGCATGTCCAATATGGCGGCGGCGGCGGCTGCAGCCCCCTCTACCTCCACCACACCCATCCAGAAACCCTCCTCCTCCTCCTCCTTCAAGTCCCCATTACCCATTTCCACATTTACCCTGCCCTTTGCCTTTAACTCCAAAAAACCCCGCTCTCTCCAGATCTCCAACTCTCTTTCCAAACCCGCCTCCACCACAACCGCGTCCCCCTCGACTACAGAGAAATTCTCATTTTCCAGATTTGCCCCTGCTGAACCCCGAAAAGGTTCCGACATCCTCGTAGAAGCTCTCGAACGCGAAGGTGTAAAAGATGTCTTCGCTTATCCTGGCGGCGCGTCAATGGAGATTCATCAAGCACTCACGCGCTCTAACATCATCCGAAATGTCTTGCCGCGACACGAGCAAGGTGGTGTCTTCGCTGCTGAAGGCTACGCGCGTGCGTCAGGCTTGCCTGGCGTTTGTATTGCAACGTCAGGTCCTGGCGCCACGAATCTTGTGAGTGGATTGGCTGACGCGCTGCTGGATAGCGTCCCAATAGTGGCCATTACGGGTCAGGTTCCGCGACGAATGATTGGTACTGATGCCTTCCAAGAAACGCCGATTGTTGAGGTAACGAGGTCCATTACGAAGCATAATTATTTGGTTCTTGATGTTGATGATATTCCTCGGATTGTTAGGGAAGCTTTCTTTTTGGCTACCTCGGGGCGGCCTGGACCTGTTTTGATTGATGTTCCGAAGGATATACAGCAGCAATTGGCTGTTCCTAATTGGGATGTGCCTATGAAATTGCCTGGTTATATGTCGAGGTTGCCTAAGAATCCGAATGAGTTGCATTTAGAGCAGATTGTGAGATTGATTTCGGAGAGTAAGAAACCAGTTTTGTATGTGGGTGGAGGGTGTTTGAATTCGAGTGAGGAGTTGAGGAGGTTTGTTGAGTTGACGGGGATTCCTGTCGCGAGTACTTTGATGGGTCTTGGTGCATTCCCCGTGGGGGATGATCTGTCTTTGCAAATGCTTGGTATGCATGGGACAGTTTATGCCAATTATGCTGTGGATAAGAGTGATTTGTTGCTTGCTTTTGGTGTTAGGTTTGATGATCGTGTGACAGGAAAGCTTGAGGCTTTTGCCAGTAGAGCGAAGATTGTGCATATTGACATTGATTCGGCCGAGATTGGAAAGAACAAGCAGCCTCACGTATCAGTTTGTGGGGATGTCAAGGTGGCTTTACAAGGGATTAACAAGATTTTGGAGAGCAGAGGTGCTAAAGGGAAAATAGACTTCAGTGCATGGAGAGAAGAGTTGAATGAGCAGAAAGTGAATTATCCGTTGAGTTTTAAGACTTTTGGAGAAGCAATTCCTCCTCAGTATGCGATTCAGGTTCTTGATGAGTTGACTGATGGGAATGCGATTATAAGTACTGGGGTTGGGCAGCATCAAATGTGGGCTGCTCAGTTTTACAAGTATAAGAGACCTAGGCAGTGGTTGACATCGGGGGGTTTGGGGGCGATGGGTTTTGGATTGCCTGCTGCTATTGGAGCTGCTGTTGCGAATCCTGATGCAGTTGTTGTGGACATTGATGGTGACGGAAGCTTCATCATGAACGTCCAGGAGTTAGCAACTGTTCGTGTTGAGAATCTCCCTGTCAAGATAATGATTCTGAACAATCAGCATTTGGGCATGGTGGTACAGTGGGAGGATCGATTCTACAAGGCTAACCGGGCTCACACGTATTTGGGGGATCCATCAAAGGAGTCCGAGATTTTCCCCAACATGTTGAAGTTTGCAGATGCTTGTGGAATACCTGCTGCCCGTGTGACGAGAAAGGATGATCTTAGAGCAGCAATTCAAAATATGCTGGACACTCCCGGGCCATACTTATTGGATGTGATTGTTCCTCACCAAGAACATGTTTTGCCTATGATCCCAAGTGGAGGGGCTTTTAAAGATGTGATAACTGAGGGTGATGGAAGAATGAAGTACTGATCTTCCTCTGCAGCAGATATGTTTTAAGGAATTATATGTATGTTCTATGGTATTCCATGCTATGTGTATGTTATGTGGAATACTATGTTTAAGTTTGGCAGGTTTTTTCTTTTTTTACTGTTCAGGAGTTGGTTTCTAGTGGCGTAGTGATGTAGCGTTGTTTGATGTGTGGAGTAAACCACACTCATAACTCATCTAATATTTTGTATCAGTTTTGCCAATGTCATGTAGTTTGTCTTTACTCTATTTGAATCTTTCATTTGCTTTTAGGTAGTAACACTGAGAATGAGTTTCAACTTTCAAATTTGCTGTGTTGTATTGAAAAATTAGTTCAATAAAGTGGCAACTCTTAAACAGGTCGTGCTTATGTGGGTTTAGTGATCACTGGATGAGACTCTATACGGTGGTGGATTTCCCGAATTAAGTGAGATGATTCTTGTCAAGTTAAATTGGTTTATTTGGGTTCTCTGTTACTGTCATCACTTGTAAGTTCATCGAGCACAGGAGGCAGGGTTTTCATGTCATGCGACCAGGCTTTATCTTATCAAGTGTGAACCTTGTGTAGAAGGTCGTGAGCCAGAGCAAAACAAAAAGAGTATCTTTTCAGGGTATTTAATCTTATGTTATTGAATATATCTGCACAATAGAATGTAAAAATGGCTATAGAAGCTTAACAAATGTTTTTTGTTTAACTCTCGATAGTAAAAATGGATAGGGCCGGCTGACAGAAAACAGGACTGGTTTTCTGGGGTAGGGGTGTTCTTGTTCTGACCTTCTATCTGTGTATATATTGGGATTTCTAATGTCCCAGACATTCCTTCGTAATTGAAGAAGTTGAGTGGCAAAAGGCTCTTTTTTCAGCTGAGAGTGAAAGAAGAGAACCTGAAGGAAGGATGGCAGAATTGCACTGTCTACAAAATATTCGAGATAAATTCAATCCTGGAAGGAAAAGATGTAGCTCGCTTGCAAGATCATGTGAGTGAATTTCTCCTATTTGCATCTAAATAGGCCATAATAATTCTTAAAGCTGAAAGATTGAACAATTTTATTGTGACCACAGCAAACAAAACAGTAAATATTGATAGTAAGTTTTTACATGTATGTTCTTTGCAAGCAGAGAGGCAATGAAGAAGAGGGTGTTGGCAAATATGGTATTGTCATGGAAACTGATGATTGAAGGTAAGTTTTAGTTCAGTAATCCATCCTTCTCACATAAATATTCATACGAAAAATTTTAACTATTTTTCATTTTTTTTAAAATCCATTTCCTTCAGGATTTCCAAGAGTCCACGGTGGAAAATTGTAGAAGGGCATTCCAGCACCAAATATACTGACAATAAATTTCTTGATACCTGAAGCAGTCTTGCATGACAAGATTGGTACGAATGCAGTCTCTCTTTATTTGCGTTGGATTTCTCTGTAAAATGACTGGATTTATATTTTAAAAAAATGATGAGACATTTGTGTTGTTGCAAGATAATGAATTTTAGAAAACGTGATCAACAATTAGGGGGAGGGGGAAGTGAGGTTAGGGAGGATCTTGGATCATTGCATGAATTTTAAATTCACAATTGTTAGTTTATTACCATTTGTATCTGTCCTCTGGTGAGAATACCCTCTGAAGTCTGAACATCTGGGGCCTTAAAATCATCCTTTCATTTATGTTCAGCTGATTAGGTGTTAGATTTATGAACAACTTTTAGATTTCTTGATGCAATCAGTAAGCAAGAGATATGACATTAATAGGTTGCATTCATATTCATTACTAATTTAGAGTTTAAATGGTCAGTATATATGTAAAAATTGGTTAGGATTCAAATAATGTATGTTGATAACTGCAGGAAATGATGAAAAAGCAAGAGCTGATGGCAATAGGTTTGCACCAACCATGCAACCAGATTATAATTCAGAGTGAAATAATTAATGTACTGAAAGAGTTTTTACTGTATAAATTTTATTTTGAGGCCGGTTTGATAATTGTGTGACTGGAAAGCTCAAGGCTTTTGCAAGTCGAGCATAGATTGTTCGCATTGATATTGATTCAGCTGAGATTGGTGAGAATAAGCAGCCTCATCTATCAGTTCTTGCAGATACAAAGTTGGCCGTACAATGGATCAACATAATTTTGGAGGGTAGGGAAACTAAAAGTGGAACAGATTTTACGGCATGGAGAGAAGAATTGAACGAGCAGAAAGTGAAGTATCCATGAAGTTTTAACACCCTTGGAGAAGAAATCCTTCCTCTGTATGCAATTCAGGTTCTTGTGACGAATTCCCTAATGGTAATGCAATTATAAGTACAGGGGTAGGGTGGCATCAAATGTGGGCTGCTCAGTTTTACAGCGTAAGAAACTACATCAATGTTTGACATCAGGGAGATTGGGGGCTACTATTACAAATCCTGATGCTATTGTTGTGGATATCGAGGGTGATGGAAGTTTCTAATGAATGTTTAGGAGTCGGTGACTATTCATGTTGAGAATATCGAGATAATGATTTTGAATAATCAATATTCGGGTATGGTGGCACAATGGGAGAACCTATTTTATAAGGCTCGCAGGGGCTTGCTCATTTTTGGGTGAACCATTAAAGGAGTCTGAGAATCCTCCTGATCTGTTGAAATTTGCAGAAGCTTGTGGAATTCCTGCTGCCCGTGTAACAAGAAAGGATGATCTGGGGAAAATCCAGAAAATGCTACACTCCTGGACCTTGCATGTTGGATGTGATGATATATAAACTGAGGCTGATATGGAATGACAGAATATTGATCTTTCATCTTTCTCCCCAACAAATATATTTTGATGAAACAGAGGCATATAAATGGTAGAAAGTAGTATTCATCTTCTAATAGCTTGTTTGGAATTGAATTGAATTTTATTAGTAGAATTCTGCTCAATGACAACCACATATTTGGAAAAGATCTGAATTATGTGAATGGAATTAAATTGAAGCGTGCTTTCTAAAATAAATCAATGGAATATTGAATTTCTTTATTTTCTATAGTTAACCTATCTTTTCTTATTCGATGCCTAGGATTATTCATATATAGAGTGAAAGATTATTCAACGAATGACAGGTTATAATCAACCAAATCAGATTACTGATTTCAGCCACCAAGGCGGAAACATGTATTGATGTTGCTTAATTAACCAGTCTAAACATGTTCAATATTCACAAATGAACACCTCTTCTTAATCTTTGAGCTAAGTTGAAGCTGTTGTAGTATCAAAAGATTTCTTCCTAACAAGAAGGCATGTGATTGTTGAAGGATTAGCAGGGGTATTGTCAGGACTGCACAGCACAAAGTCAGGCCTGTGAAGTGCAAGGTTCAACCTATCCTTCCCGACGACCAGAGCAGTTGCATCCAGCAGAACATGCCATGAGTTCCGATGGGCTTCCGATACCCAATGCATCGAATAACGAGTTCCGTTCACATCAGCTGGGTATGAGAATAGCCCCTTAGGGCTGTGCTTACACTTCCTTCTAAAATACTGGCTAAGCTGCGATCCCTTGATTCTCAAATCCAACCAAGTCTCCGGTGTTGGGATCACTTTTGATTCCTTGTAACTGGCGAATTCCTTTACATAATCCATTGCTTCCCCGATGGCAGTCATGTAGAAGTTCCCTCTGAAGAAAGGATAGCTCTCTCCTACTAACATCATTGCATCTTTGTAGTTTTGAGTGAACAGGACAAGATACTCATCATCAAGTAATCCACAGTACCTTAGAACTTTGTGCTGAGCTTGGATTTCAGGTATTGACACAAAACTCCCAGGAAATGACGATTTCTCGGTAAGAATATCAAGCAGTCTCGATGGCTCTAACTGGGTTCTATCCAAGTCAGGGTGATTGCTTCCGAATGATGGTGTGGAGACGTCTCTAAGACTAGTCCTAGGTGACTTATTCTTGTCGTCTGGTGAAGGCTCTGAGATCTCTTCATTGATACAAAGAGTAGAGAGATCTACCTTCTCTCCGATGAAGCCAGCATATTGGGGGTACTTTGCCAAGACATACTGCTCAACGTATTGCATCTCCATCGTTGTTATTGGACCTGACCATCTGAGGTCAAGACCACGGATTGTCGATATGGCTTCTGCCAAGATATGCGCAGGGACTACGGTGTGCGCTTTCTGTTTTCGTTCCAAATTCAATCAAACAACCAAAACCAGTTAGATTGCAGTCTTAGGAACCTACATAAACATTTTTAAGATGGTTTAGAGATTGAAATATACCTTCACAACCATACTGCTTGGTCTGCTGTTTTCGACTTCAGGTTTCGTTATAGATGCAAGAAGAGATTTCTTACGTTGACCTTCCATCATGGCCTAATTTTTTTGTCAATATCTCAATAAGAAACCCTAAAACTTCTGTATAATCAAACAATTCGGTACAGAGTAAAGGTTACTTACCTTTGATCCTGCACTGTAAAGAACCTCTCCTACAGGGTTCCTACCCATAACAGGATCAGTTATCTAAACAAAATCGATCTTAAACATCCAAAAGATTTCTTTCTGGACCATTTAACCAAAACTTGAATATCTGAGAAGGAAAGAAGAAAAAAATTGGGAGACAAAAAGAGGTGTGTATATAAATATATGCACACACAGAGAAGTCTTTCAAAAATGCCAGAACATAGAGCTGCAAAGGCTGTTAAAGGTATGCATGGATAACTAAAAAATAACGAACAAAGAAATTCATGAAAAGAAAGGAGTGAGGGAGCCTAAGAATCAGAAACCAAAGTGGCAAAAACCTCTGAGAACAAAAAAGGATGTGAGTAGGAGTATTAAAGAAACCAAAAGCGACCACTAGCTAGGAATTGGAGCAAGTAGAGGATTTGGTGTAAGAATTAGAGGTAGGTGTGAAGAGAAGACCAAGCCAAACTGACTAAAACATTTCTTGTTGCAAACTTGGATCCGAATGTAAGGCACTAAAGAAATCTTTAAAAAAAAAAAGGTCATGATAATGAAAGGCATGCTGACAATGACAAGAGCAATGCTCTAAAAAACCATCATCAACAGTTGTTCCCAGTTGGTATTCTAACCATGGTCGTATGTATGATCTTATGCAAGATTAGTACATGACAAATCATCATTAGTTGATAAAAAATATTTAGAATAAAATTTCCGGGCCTCTGTCAATCCGACTCAAGGATAAATAAACAGAAAAGGAAAAAAAAATGTTGAATTATCAAATGATCATAGAGTGGCAACAAACTGCAAAAATATATTCAATTGGGATGAAACCTCAGCCTCTAAATTTTTTAATCTTTAATGGAAAGTGACCATTTGAGAAGCTTTAGTTAGCGAGAAGAATGATTGGTTGTGTTGAATTATACAAATCCTTCGGTGTGAATGCAAATCCAGTTGAGGGAATGGACAGCAACTGAATTCTGTAAAAGTTTCTGATTACCTTCATTAGAACTTGGTAATGTTTTCTAATGGCAGGTAGCTATCCTGTGGATATTAAAAATGATTAGAAATCAGTATTAGACATTAACGAGTGATATGAGCATATCGATATCGATATCGGCCGATTTATTGTTGCCGGTAGTCTTCTGCTATTGCTAGCTGAAGCCACATCCTGTGCTCATATATGGATTAGATGAATAATTGCACCAGAAAATTGTAGGATTTCGGAGACCCTTGTAGCTGAAGAAACCAATAACAAGGTCCAATCCGGTAAATTCAATGTGTGTAGACCGTGTAGAAGTAGAATATGCCGCTCTTAGATGCCTGAAAGGAGTACCTGCATAAAGACAAAAGGTATTCAAGAAAAAGCTATTATAATCTGCATGCAAATTGACATTAACATAATATATAGATGCATTTCGTCTAATTACATGATTATATATGAAATTAGTGGAAAATGTTGTGCTTCCTGCGACGTGCTGCCGTATTCGCAGACCTCCCATTTCAGTTGAGCTGAGCCAACCGCTTTGTTTTGTTGAACAAGAATTGAATATTACAATAATCTCATTATTCCATTTGATATAATTCATATTAAATGAATCATTAAACAACGCTTCCAATGTATCAAACTTTTCAGAACATGACTTTCTGCGAAGCTCAGCTTGAAAAGGACTCATGCAAAACTTAAACAACACTCTCTCTTCCTCCTCCTAATTGTCTAACCATTGATTGTTGTTTTCTTTTCCACTTCGAACGAACGAACTTGAAAACATTTTGTCTTATTTTTCTACCAGATCGTGAGATGTGTTAGAATTGATAAAATGCTAACAACTTTTGTAATTTATATATAAGGAAAGGCTTAGATGATCTTTAATTTTGAAGCACGGTTTGAAACAACCTCAATATGCATGTATCTCACAACTTATTATATCTGGAAAATAAAGATAAACATTTGACAAATTTAAAGAACTTCCACAAGCTATATAATTTGTCCAATTGGCTGACCTTCTTCTCTCACCAGCTGGGCGTAGCTTGATGTTTGAATTTCTAGTTCTTTTTTTTTTTTTTTCAATCATAGATTTCTTGTGCTTTCCTTACCCCATTGTGAGATAGCCATTCAACCTCTCTCTCTCTCTCTCTCTCTCTCTCTCTCTCTCTCTCATATATATATATATATATAATTTTAGTGTTCCTAAAGCGGACGAAACGGTATTGTTTTTTTTTTTTTTTTATTGAAACGAAACGACATTATTCTACAGAAAAATGATTTTTTTTGGACATTTGTACTTCTTTACTTATTAGGTCCTTAAAGTTTTACTTTTGTTAAAACATGATTCATAATCTTTATTTTTGTTACATGACGTTTCTATGTTTTTTTATGACCGGGCATTTAAATTTTTTTTTTTTTTGGGTATTTTGTACTTCTTTACTTATTTGGTTCTTAAAGTTATAATTTTGTAAAAAATGGTTCATGATCTTAATTTTTGTTACGTGAAGGTCTTTGTATTTTTTCAATGGCTAGAGCCGCTAGACTGTGTTTCCAACTCAGGCGCGAGGGGCTGACTGTCACCTAACCCACCCAAAAGGACCCGGTGCCTGCCTTAGCCCAACCTTCTTTTTTCATGCTTTTAGTTTATTTTTATTATTTATTATTTGCTTAAAATAATTTTTTTCCTCAATAATTAATGTTTTCCTTAAAAAATTTTATATACCCATTAACTAAATTAAACACTCTTCTAATATAAATTGATTTAGCAAACTCTTCTAATTTTATTTTTTAAAAAAATAATCAAGCATGTTCTCCTTTTCTTTTTCTTTTATTGATTAAACTGAAAAAAAAATCATAGGATATATTTAAACTCAATCATAACATAAAAATATTTTTATTAAATATTACTTAATACTTATTAAATTAAACAAATTGTCACAATAATATTAATTAATTCTTACTTTACACTTAAAATTTTAAATTATTTAAGATATTAAAACAATATCATATAGATTTAACTGCAGCAATGTACGGTACGATCCTAGAGATTTTCTCAATGAACGACAGTGCTTAGAGGAAGGAAAAATTAATCTTGATCCATTGCGTAGACAAAGCAATCACAGTAGCACCTAAATCTACCTTCTTCCTCGGGCAAAATTGGGCTGTGACATATCACTTCAGTCTCTCCTTTTTATACCACCTTCAAATGGACCACTTGTCTGCAACTAGATGGTGGAGTATCTTCCAGAAAATCGCAGGCCTGATTTCTGAAAAAGCCGTATCCTTTGTTTCTCCCAGTTTATACGTAGTACTAGGCTGCAGTCTCTGAGCAAAAATGGATGACTGTCCATAGATCAGAGTGCTCGTACAAGAAATCCTCTGGCTAACTTAAGAAAAAAAGCTCTCTGTATCTCCTTGTTGTAAGCCCTACGCCAGCAGATTCTCATAACATGTCCCATCAGGGGCAATGACTAGGTTGTGATGGATCAGTTAGCAACTAAAGCATTGAATTGACAAATTGGGATTCAGCATCCAAAAAGCAGACACCCTGTGTCCACCGGCTTTCACATCAAGAATACTACTACTACTACTACATAAAAAATGATTGGTGCATGTGCATCCCACAAAGTCAAAATTGATTGAAAGCAACCCTCCAACAACCACTGCACCTTAGCCTCCTTCAACCTTACTCAACTGCAGGTGCAGCACCAAACGAGCCCAAATGGAGACAAGTGACAAAAGTGAATCTATGAGTCAACATCCTATAGGTTTCAGGACCCGACTCAACATCCCCATAATAGGATTGAAATACCAACCCTTCATTATTCTTTCTCGCAAGTTATACACATGGGAGGCTTTGATTTGTAAATTCCGTCGTTTAACCACAACAATTAGGTGACAAGCTGACAGCTCAATTAGAGGAAATATAACACTTGAAATATAAGCAAACCACCCTTTTCTTCTGCCACACTCAAAAATTAAAGAAGAGTAATAATAGGATAGCACACTTGATAATTACGGAAGTCCCACAAGCAGTTCAATACCTTGCTAGGAGGAGCTGTGATTGTAGCAGGAGTTTTGTGGAAAGGACTAGGCAAGCAAAAAAATGCCCGCAGAAGTACCACATTACCGTTCTCTTGCTACTCCTGTACAGAAGTCTTCACCTCCAAGCTCACCTGAATCGCAATTCAATCTACCTGTCGGCCGCAAGTATTTCAGAGGAAGTAAGAGCATGGCTATTCCTGGAAGAAAACTTATAGCTGCCGTTGTCTTCATTTTATCGAGCATCTCCATCATCCGACTTCTTAGAATTGCAATCACTACCTCATCTTCTGCACCTCCATTGCCTGCTTTGCCTCCTCCTCTACAACACACATGTTCTACTCCTCCTCCGGCCTGCGACAAGGTTCCATCTCACACACCTAGCGACCAAACAGTACAACAGAAAATCTATGCCAACCCACCTAGTCTCACAAAAAAAGAATTTAAACTTCTATCTGACCTCATTAAACGTAAAGCCCCCTGCAACCTCCTTATTTTTGGAGCGGAGCCCCAGTACCTGCAACTGTCCTCCATCAACTCAGGTGGCATCACAATCTTTCTGGAGGATGATCCTGACAAAATAAGAGCTGCCAGAGAAAAATCTAACACCACTCAAATCTACAAGGTTGACTACCGGATACCTGCAAAGAGGGCTTACAAGCTGCTCAAACATGCAAGGAAAAGTCCAGCTTGTTCCCCAAACCCAGAAATGCTTCAGAATTCATCATGCAAACTTGCATTGAAGAACTTGCCACGAGAAGTTTATGGGCTTAAATGGAATGTGGTGGTGGTGGATGGACCGAGTGGCCACTCACCTGAGGCACCAGGCAGAATGGGGGCAATCTACACAGCTAGCATGATAGCAAGAGCTGGGAACACAACAGATGTACTGGTGCATGATGTTGATCGGACAATTGAGAAGTGGTTTTCTTGGGAGTTTCTATGTGATGAGAACTTGGTTGCTTCAAAGGGGAGACTCTGGGATTTTAGGATCTCAGGTAAATCAAATTCTTCAGAATTTTGCTCAGAGCAAACAGTTGCAATATGGTGATGGCTTTGCTTCGCTCGGTGAAAAGTCTAGTCTGTAACGTTCTTGATCCATGCACATATTGAAGATTGTTTCAGATGCCATGACATCTTTTTATCCACACACGAGTCAAGAGCATGCCAATCAAGAGCCTAATATCCACACACCATCAGGCGATTGCCTTCTTGCAGAGGCAAATTAAAAGTACAGAGAAGGTAAATATAAGCAGTTTTCCATCCAACACACGGAAAGTATTTCCAGTCATCCTTAGGCAGTTCCATTATTTTGAAGTTGATTCAAGTTCAAAGTAAAGAACCAAGAATCGAATACCGTCCACAGTTTTTGCCGATTGTAGAACAATTGTGGTTTGCTGCATAACTCATTGTCTTACAGCTGTTTCTATAAGATCAACGAAAGGGCTCCTCCCCTATTAGCAGATGATGTAACCTAATATCCATATTCTTGGGAAGAAAAAAAATCATATCCATGTTTTTGGTTCCATAGCCTATTATTCTAATATTTGAACACAAAGAGGTGGTGGCAAGTTTGCACGCACTAGACAGAACACAATAATTAGATTAAAGCCTATTTTTGCGACAGAAAAATTTGACCTTAGGACAAAGAATCTGACCTTTAACATGAGATCTGAGAAATGTAATTTAAGGTATACTAAAAGGGCATCAACAGCCCTCGCATCTAAGGATTACAAGACAGACCCAACAAGTATTTCCCGTTTCTGGGCTCAAGTTTTGATGATCCATTGCTGCCTTTGACAAAAATATATACATTCAGATCTAAAATCTGAAATTTTAAGGGAGAAATGGCAGAAGAATATACATAGTAAACTGTCGAAGTGTTTGTCACCAGACATTGTTAGCTCATGTGATCACCACAGCAGCCATCATTCACCTGTATCCCTCCTCTGTGTTGGGGACAAAATAAAAATGCATTAGGCAAAGAAAACTAATTTTGCATAAGACCATCATCACATAAAGTTCCCCAAATCAATGAAATTCGTGCCAAACTTAAATACAATGTCGTCAGCCTAAGAAGAAAAGAGTTTTCTATAAGGCATATCACCTAAAACTAGCCAAGACTTCCACCAACAAAGGTGAACTATGCTATGATAATTTGCCCAACTACAAATGCTTAGTTCCAACTTTCTTTTACCAAATTATACTGAAGTAGACAGGTGTCCTATCACAGAAATTCTTAATAGATTGCATCTAAGAACTTATACGAACTTGAGTCAAATTTTATGCAAAGAGGTGTCACTAGCTACTAACACGGACAATCACTTAACAAGAAAACTATGTATTACAATGATGTTTAAAACATGAAATGTATATTGCAATTTTTTCAGCAAAAAGAGCCAAGCCTGAAAATGGAAAGATTGGACATATTATGAACTGCATAATACACAAGGACTTGGAGCATTGAGATTACCATTCGTTTGCTGATATAAGGCTGTATTGTAATTGGCATCTCAGTATGACTCTCAACATTAGGTAATTTTCGTTTCTCCTTCTCAAATTCTTTTCTAGATTCCTTTCGGCTGCCAGACTGCCAAACTCTACCAAAATTGGGAAGCCAGTTTGCATTGCAATCACTCTTGACCATCTCTCCTCTCTTCTCCATCTCCATCTCCATCTTTCTCCTTTCTGCCCAAGCAGCACCTACCCTTTTTGGGTTCAATTTATGAGATTTCCCAGACTTATTTGAAACTGGAACAGATCTAGAAGAAATCGGTTTTTGTTGAACATTTAGCTGATTTTCTTCAGTTGCTTCTAACCAAGGAGGAGGAGCTCCTGTATGCACATTTCCTCCAGCCATTTGTGGAGTCAAGGCAGGTACTTGAGTGACTCCAGCCAATTGTGGAGCCAAAGCAAGAACTTGAGGGATATTCTGTGAACCTAAAAGGATAATTGCAAGATAAGGATTGACATCAAATGGAACACCATGATAACAGTACCCCATCCACAATGCTACTCAAATTATGCATGTACTACCCAAATGACTAGCTTTAAATTGAAGTAAAATAAAAACAGAAATGAGATGTAAAAAATTATTACCCTGTAAACTGCTCACTCCATGTACGGATCTTTCACCCTGATAAACCTGGCACAGCTATAGCAAACAAATACAAGTTTACAAATATTTTAACTGCAAAACAGGTATATGAAAAAAAAAAAAAAAAAAAAGTCTTCCTAAGCCTTTGACATCACTGAGCATCAAGCAAAAAAGCAAAAGCCTTGACAGCATTTAGAAGTCAAAGGTACTCACTATGAGCATGTAACTAAAGAAAGAAGGAGATAATAAATAAAAGAATATCGCAACTTGCATAGTCTAACACTAAACAGATAACGCCTACACAATGTTTTAGAAATATCCAGGTTGACAGTGCAAAATAAATGAAGAACATGACATCTCCACAGATTTATGCACCCGACATATCCATCTTAGCTCATTCAAATGATCAGAAATAGTATTCACAAGTAGAAGGAAAAAAAACTCTGCTTAATATAGCTTTGTAATTATCAAAGCCACTGTAAACAATAGAAAAGATTGAAAACAGCAAGTAGTTTCATAAGCAGTCATCATTCACATGATGCCTAAAACGATCACCTACCAAAGATATCCATCATAATGCTGCACACCCTCATACAACTTTGACAGATGCTTAGCCTATCTAGCAAAATAATAAATGTAGCACTTAAGGATAAATATCAACACAGCCACACAGAAATTCAAAGGCACCGCCAACCATGTACCATATCTTCTACAAACTAATCCTGAGAAACCCAACTGTTAATTAGCTAATGAGTTGCGTATATGGTGCAAATATAAAAATCACTACAAAATTTCAGCCGTGAGAAAAAGTTACAAAAGGAAAAAATAATCTCCAAGTTTTGGAGAAAATGAAATGAGCTTCATAGAGAAAGAGTGTAAAGGACCAAACTCACCTGTCCATTACCGAGATTGGGTGCACAGTTTACACTGTTATAAAGGAAAGAATGTTGGCTATTCCAATTAGCTGCATATTTCAAACACAGAGGACAAACAACAGAACTAGTATCAGTATATCTCCATTCAGAACTACTCAATTGGAGGTAGAGATATCAAATAAGCAGGTTACTCGTACCAGTAAAATCGTTTGCATTGCATAAACTCGTACCAGAATGTGCACGCACAGGCAAAGTAGAGACCACACCATACATGGACGGTCCAGCATTTGTAACTGCAGAGACTCCTGAATTGGATATCTGATACTCATTTGTATAATACTGTAAAGGCATAACACCATTTGAAATATTCAAATTAACATTATCCAAACTATTATTCTCAAAGCTATTTATATTTTCGAGGTTGATTTCATTGCGGATATCATTTGAAGGTCCAACTTGCATCCCTCCTGATCCATCACCAGACGAGGACCCTTCATTCCTCAATGCTTCACACTTCTTCTCCCACTACAATTGCCAAGAAAAAAAAACATAAATTAGTCCACTATTACACATCTTTTAAATCAACACTATCGTACTCGCACTATAGAAATCCAAAAACACAACACTAATCTACAATTGAACAACGATTAGGCCTGTACCTTAGCTACATCAGCTTCTAAAATCCGAAACGTATCGACGCGATCCATTCCACTACCGTATTTCCACATAAAGTGCTTCAGTTTCTTTAAATGCTCCTCACTTGCGAAGTGACTAATGGCATTAGCACTATTTTTTAGAGAATAAAAAAACACACATTAATTACAATACCAATTAAATAATAAACGCCAGAAATTAAGGCAAATACTGACGGTAATGAATAAAAGAAAAATTGATTAATTGAAACTTTTTTATTTTTATACCATGCAAAGGAGCTGCCGGTCTCGTGGATATCGAAATCGCAGAAGACGCACCAGATGCGATTGCGAGAGGCGAGTTCAGAGCGGAGAATGGTTGGGTTTTTGAGAAAGAAGAGAATGTCGGCGAGTTTGGTTTGAAAACGAGAAAGGAAAGTAGAGAGTGATTTTTTGTGGTTTGGAAAGTACTTGTGGTTTTGGCCTTGATCATGATTCAAATTGCAGACTTTGCAGAATTCAAATTCGACGTTTTTCTTCTTGTTCTTCTTGTTGTTAATTTTGATCTTCTGGTTCATGGTGGTGATTTTAGGGCTAGGGTTCCTTTGACTTAGCTCTGTAACTAAAAAATTGGAATTTGATTTTCCAGAAACGGATGCTGACATGATAACACGCACGCAATGAAGCGTCGTTTTTAAGCTAACAGATTGTTGTATATATACATACGTCTATGAAACGCAGCGTTTCTTTGCTAACTGGGTTCCCGCCAATTTCCAATTCCGAGAAAGTAATTCGTTCCTTTTTTTCATGGAGTTTTTTTTATATATATAATTATTAAAAAAACCCTCTAAAAAAATCTTAGATCCAAATAACTCATCAATTTATTTTTAAATCTCTTAAATGTAAAATAATATTTTTCTTACCAAAACATCCAATAGCTAACCTTTAACTTAACACTAGTTAATTATTGGATCTTTTGATAAGATAATTTTTTTAATTTTAGGTTTGAGAGATTTAAAAAATAAATTGATGGATTTTTTAGATAGAAATTTTTTTAGAGTTTTTATCTAATAATAAACTTATTTTATAGTTTTTAATGAGCTTGGTATTTATTATTTTTTTCATGATCAACTCAAGTTCTTTTTTTATTGCATTCGAAGGAAAAACAAAAAGGTTTTTGAGGTTTTTTTACTTTTAAATACTAACATTCAACTACTATTTTTTTTATTATACTAAAAAAATTTCTTATATTAGATGTTTTTTTTTCTATCGACTACTTGTTTCATTAATTACGAGATTAATTTTACTATCTAGTAACTATAGCAACCAATGCAATCTAACTAATTAATATTGATGAATGAACTCTTCTTATTCTTTTGTAATTTAATCAAATACTTATCATACAAATAAGAAAAATAAGAATATGTATGATTATGAACATCGGTGATTTCTTAAATTCCAATAAATTGATAGGAAAAAAAAAACCATAATTGATAATACTAGTTTTTAATTAATCAAAACTCAATATTTTTTTTATCAAACAATTAAATTAAATTAAAAAATAAATGTATAACATTTTTTGGTACATTAATTAAATAAAACATGATCATTCATAATAGAAATACATATCTTGAAAGATAATAATTTCATTTAAACTAGGGATAATTACTAAAATACCTTCTAAAAAATTTATTATTTTTTTCTAAATCTCTCAAACACAAAATAATATTTTTAAATCTCATAAACCTAAAACAATATTTTTCTTACCAAAACAACCAATATTTAACACTAGTGTTAATTATTGAGTGTTTTAGTAAAAAAAATATTATTTTAGGTTTGGGAGATTTAAAAATAAATTTGTGAGTTTTTTAAATAGAAGATTTTTTTATAAGGTTTTTCTGGTAATTATTCCTTTTTTTTCCTTCCTTTTAATCGTATGGTTAAAAAATAAAAAAAAGGAAAAAAAGGCATAAAATCATTGATTTCTTTATTTATTTATTTTTTAGTGGCATTCATAAACCATAATCATTCTTAATGAATTTGACGATTGTTGGATCAAATCTAAAGTGTGCATAACCATTTTTCAAATTACGTTTGGCATGAGTTTTACAAATTGATTAAAGTAGTTTTCTAACTTTTCACTTTAAAAAATTATAAATATATTGAATTAGAAATAACTTTTAAATTAAATCAAAACTTTACTTTAATTAAAAATTGAAAATTTTATCTTTTAACTTATGAATTACTATTTTTTTAAAAAAAAAAAGAAGAAGATTTTTTTATTCATTTTTACAAAATATAATTATAATTTAAAAATCATTTCAAATCATTTTTTTTCATAAGTTGGTTATTAAAAAATAATTTTATATTATTATTCCAAATAAAAAATCATAATTTAAAAATCATATCAAACCAACTATTAGGTTATTAAATTAGTTTCTAATTACTTTTATCTCTCAAAAACTTTTAACGATGCTAATTAAGGAACATCATTGATGGCCCATAAGTGGGATTCATAGGCTTGATGCAGAACTCATTAATTCGGAAAGTTTCTTTCAAAAATTAAAAATAAAAATAAAAATTCAAAAACAAACATATCATATCATGTGCAATCGGATAAATTTTTTTTTCCCTGAATGCTTAATACTCTTCATAGTAGTTGGTGATGATGTTCAGTTTTGCATTTTATTTTATTTTTTTAATTTCCCTGTCCCACTTCAACGAAAGTGTAAACCTGAAATAACTTGATAATTGGAAAGTTTGTGAGCTATATAATCCCTGAAGAAACAGTAGGTTGCATTGATTAGATCTGAATATCCCGAAACCTCACCATCCCGATTGATTGATTTGAATATCGGTTGCTGATAGCTTGATAAATGATAACCGTACGCCTATGTTTTCTTTCAAATAGAGCTTTGGAGTTTCAATGAACGTAAGCTGATGTCAGTATACGTACATTAGATTAAATAAGAAAAATAATTGTATCGTATGATATATGGAAAAAAAGGTTTCGCCTTTTAATTAAAGAATATTATTCGGATAATTACAAAATAAATATATCAATTTTTAATTTTTTCTTAATCGATTATATAAATATCAAATAATAATTTTAATTGATAAGTGTACGAGTGCTAAATTATATTTTTTTAAAAAAAATTTCTCTTTAAATTATTCTATCATTTTTAAATTTGACAAAGAATATATATATATATATATATATATATATATATATCTCTATCGAACTAAACTTAGTAAGACTTCCTATTAAAAAAATAATTAGGTTTTAGATGTGAAAATTGAAAAAAGCACGAACATAAGATTTTTGATCGAGAAGATTTATTTTTGTTTTTCTTCAATTATCACTCTTAAACATAATTGAGTTTTTTTTTTTTAACAACAACCTAATTGAGTTTAGCTTAGAATTTTAGAGATAAAAAATATTTTTTTAATTATTTGTTAAATTATAAAATAGTAAAATAATTTGAGAAAAAAGTTTATTTCAATAAAAAAGAGGGTAAAATTATAATTTCATATTCGAATACATCATCAATTAACGAAAAAAATGATGAAAATACTTAATTAATAGTTTTGAAAAAGTTGATGTACTCAAACAAAAACAATCATAGTTCATGTACTCGATTGAGAAAAATATAAAATTATAATTTGATATTTTAAGGATACCGGATACGTTATCAATTAATAAAAAAATTAATATAAGTATTTGATTGACAATTTAGAAAAAATTGATATACTCAAACGAATAAAATTAAAATTCATATATTTGATTCAAAAAAAGTTAAATGTTGCTATACTTATAGTTTAATTATCCCAATATCATTTAATGGCTGTGTTTATGTTATATGGGTTGAACATCATGGTGTGGCATAACCTATTCTTTTCCTCTTGTGAACTGCAAATGGAAACTTTGGACAGTGTACGCTCTTGTCCATACCGTTCCTTTTAGCTTTTCATTATTGAAAAAGATAAAAAGTTTCACCGTCCCGGCTGTTAGCTCAGTATAGCAATGTAATGGTGTGATTGTTTTCAGTCCCACATGGTGCGACTCTTTGAGGGTTTTGAGTCCCACCATGAGCTAAGCTTTCCCAACTTCTAAAGCTATGTGCTTTTTTTTTCCTTGATTGGTTTATATTTGACGAATATAATGAAAACATTTCGTATTCTGCTCTCATTTTTGCCTTGAAAGAGATTGTGAATAGCCTGATTGTTTTCGTGGAGAATTTACTATCACTAGTGCCCTATAGTACTAGGAAAAGTTTTTACTCGATGATCTCCACCAGTTTTTGTTTCGTCTTAATTATAATAGTTCTTCCTCACTTCCTGCCAAATTTTAAACGTTAATAATTGGAGCTGTCCTTTAGATGATTCTGCTTTACTGCTATTAGCAGTGGTGTGCTGTTCAGGCTGTGGATTGCTTGGTAGAAAAATTATGACAAGTCATGTGTATTCATGTGATGGGCTACTTAGCAACTAATGAAACTGATGTAGACTTAATTGTCAGTTTCAGAAAGAGGTAATTTCTGAGGACCTGGCAGGCTGGTACTGGAGACACTTAAGGACGGTCATGTTTGCTGTTAGGTAATGAGATCATTAAGGGTCACTCTTCTGAAGAATTCATTCGAGTGCCGGATGTACGTTTCGACGACAAATCTACATCAGTTTGAAGCAGAAACACAGTATCATTTCACCATAATATGTGGACAATCTGAAAAGACAAATGTTAAGGTTTTGTCATAATGACTCGTTGGATAGATCACCCCAAGTATGTCCTACAACTTTTATCTTGCTCGTCAACTTTATCAAGGAATCGATAGCTTTGCATTTCTCTGATTGTATCCAAATAAAAGATAAAAGACAAGGAACCCATAATGCAAGTGGTCATATGTCGGAGGGTATGGTTCTTTGATTAGTATGATCATTATCTAGTAATTATGAAACTCGATTAGGATGCAGTCAATGAACAATTTTTTTGTTAGTTTCCAGCCCAAAAATGTAAACTTCCATTATTGGCGTCCTACTTTATGGCAGAGCATCCCTATAAAACACAACTTCAGTTTCCTACAGGACAAGTACAGTCAATGTTGAGACATTGGGCATTCAGATTCTTATCCTTTTCACCAGTAGATTTTTTAAAGAAACTAAAGGGAATTCTTCAGCTGGTTCTCATGCAAATATACCTGCCTTTTACTTTGAATTTAGTCTGTATATAGAAACTGAAAAACAAAATCGAAAAAGAAAAATACTTTGTTGTGATGAATATTACCGATTCTTAATTATTGTACCCTATGCAGAGAAGGAAGAGACTGTAAATCGTCAAATCCGAAAAGAAAATTAGGAAGTGCATTAGACGAGAGTGTGAGCTTATATATCTTGTTGAAACTTTAAGCATTAAAAAGCTTAAGGGTGGACTTATTGTCTTTTTGAAGTTATATTAGAAGGGGTTAGTCCTAATTTAAAGCATTAAAGCAAGAACATACATGTTTAGAAAGTGAAAAAGGGTAGAGTATATGCTTTTGATCTTTAATTAGGTTGAACCCTTCGCAAGATTCTGCAACTCAAAGGCAATTAATTAATTAAAGGTGTTTACCTTTAATTTTCTCCCATGCTTTCCTTGCTGTTTAGCAAATGTACTTTTCAAGAGAACCAAAGTCTTGAAACTTCAAGATCCTCTGCCCCCACTAGATTATGTTTTGACCTCAGCAAAGAATCAATTCAGTGTATTATTGAAGCCAGCCATGACAGGTTAACTGTATTTGAGAAATATGTTTGGAGGTTGCTGACAAATTAAGCTAGTTTTCGTTCCTGCGACATCTTGAAAGGGGTGGCAGTGGGACTGTTCATTGCTCTGACTGATGCTTTCAAGTGAAACGAGTCGTCCTATCCCCCCAAAAAAAGAAATAAATAAATAATGTTTCTTTTTTGTGTTGGATCCCAGACATAGATAGTGGGTGTTTGGTTTCTGATCAGCAAGAGTTAAGAAGTTGAATACAAGTGGATTCAGCTGTACACATCCATTCCTGTCTTGATGTTGATGATATTACTTGCTTTTTGTTCTGATTCATTTGCCTTTCTATCAAAATCAAGGTTCTTAACTTGACTCTGGCACCATCAGCTTTGACTCATCTAGCCCACAATATGTGTTAGAGCTTCGCTAGCATCCACTACACATCTACTTCTACTTGCAAGCACAACATTGGTGTTTGATGGTTGCTGATCAGAACTTACAGATAATAAATCATTGTTTTTTTTTTTTTTTCTGCCTCGCCATTCCCTCCTCTCTTTCACTGATATTGAGTTAACCTTATTATTGATTGTTGTGATTCTTTGGCTTGTGACTCACTAAAAACTGTAAAAGAGCTACGAAAAGCCTGCTTAACTCTGAGTGGGTAGGATAGGATTTTAGGGCAAGCTGCTGGCCTAGGCCAACTTCATAATTTCTTAATGGTTCGATTGGAATTATCTGCTTATTAATTTTAATCCTTTGGTTATTATTGCTTCTAGCTGCCATTTGATCTATTTTCAAGAACAGATATCAAACATAAGGATTAGTCGGTTCCGTAGATTGTTTCTTAATTGTTGAAGGACATGGAAGCCTACATCCTGCATCCATTTATACATTTTTCATGCACCTTGACATTCCCTGGGACTAATGAATGTTCAACACACAGGGAAATTCAGTGATTTTAACTGGAGTTTCCAATCTTGCTGTAGCATTTCATTCTTGGTGCATTTATCAATCTGGGAGATAAGTATTTGTCATTGAAAGGATCTAAGAAAGAAGAAAAGGGATGAGAAGAAAAACATTGGAGACTTCTAATCACCTAACAGTGACAAATTATCAATCCAAAGTTTCGCAGGTTCTTTCAAATTGTGGCACCTTCAAAATGAAGCATTAATAAAGGACATCAACTTCGAATTCTTGAAACCAAAATCAGAAATAATTGGCTGATTCAACACAGTTATGCCACAATGCCTGTATGGCTTGTCCATGAACTTGCAACTTATTGAATGGCAATTGCTGTCTGTTGTCTTAGGAATCAATACTTACTAATGCTTCCAGATTGGACGTGATCATTAGCTAGAGACAAAATCTTACTTTTTTTATGAACAACAAAAGATCTTGATTCTTTTTCAGATTTTCCATTTTGATTTTTGAAAAGCAGTGCAACATGCTATTACTAAAAAGAAAACTTGCCATTTAATAATTCATCAACATACACATCACAAATGATAAAAAACAGAATGGGCACTGTTATTGCAAACTTTTCAATCTTGCCACTTATGCTGTATCCTTTTATCAATCTTATCCCTTCTGTTGTTGAATGAAGAAATAGAAGGAATCCAATCCCCAAATATGATTCAAACTCAATATAATTCGGCTCTGGAATAACTTCGTCCTGTCTTCATCGAGAAGGGTTTAAAATTTCATCTCAATCGATCTCATAAAAGCATGATATGATATCAATCAAGGCTTGAACCTTTGCCTGCAAGACTGGCAAGTGATCTCCATGCACGTAGAATCCATCTGCCTTGTAGCTTTCTCTTTCAATCTCTCAGCTTTGTCAACCTCCTCTCTAGCTCTTTGCCACATATGCCTAGCCTTTGCAAACTCTGACTGCGCCAACTCCATCTCCTTCCTTGTTAGGTCCCTTACTCTCTCCGCGTAGGCCTTTTCAATAGCTGCCAATTTAATTTGCTCAGCAGCCTGCCATTTCAAGGCCTCAACGCAGCTCGTGTCCTTTTTTGCATCGCTGAAATCACAAATGGGACCTGTTAAAACGCAATTAGATGGTGCCTGGATTGGCCTAACACTTATGGATAGTTGCAAGTCTAGTGATGGCCCTCCAAACTGATGATGATGATGATGATGATGATCAGACACCACTGATTTGTACCTCAATGAAGAATCCATCGGCCGCGACAATAATAAAGAAGATGAGGAAGAAGAAGAAGAAGCTATGGAAAGCTGTGAAGGGAGAAGCTGAAGCTCCTTTTGATCTCCCTCTTCCATGTTGAAAAAATAGAGAGAGGTTTGAACCGCGAGGGGATGGCAATGAGGGGAATTTGTGGGGGTGGCAGAGACTGCTGCCAATATATACACGTATTTTTTGACAAAATTACCATTAAACCCATGGTTTTCTCACGAAATGACCTCGAACACCTTGCAATGACTAGACCACCCTTTTTCTCGTTCATTCAAGGCAAAATTTACCGTAAACTTAGGGTAAATGTATGTAAGGTGGAAGGGTATATTGGTAATCAAGATTAAAGATTTGAAAATTCCGTTATAGATAGAGCCAAAAGTATGGGAAAGAAATAACGGATCACGTTATTGAGTTATGAGTAGCTTTTTGCTGTTGTAGTGAAGTGTTTGTCTCTCTTTTTTCACACCTTTTTCACTTTTATTATCATTATTAAGTGACTTATTTTATTGACTTTGTCTAATCTTTTCGTCTTTTTATTTTATATTTTTGTGTTATCTTTTTGGGATATGGAGGATATGGAGGGTTGTGGGTGCGTAATAATTAGATACACACGTGCAATAAGTGTATTCTTTGCTTGTTTTTCCCCCAAAGAGTAAATTCATCTTATTTTAGTTTGTTCAAAAAAAAAAAAATTGTAGAAATTTAAACAATTACTTTCTATTTTAATGCAAAATTTAAATTATTACAACTATTTTAGTGGTCTTACAAATACATAATTTTAATTACATTAAGATCTCATAAACATAAAATATACCGTATTATTATTATAAAATATATATTAAATATGTGTGATCAGTCTCATATTATGCTATACCCATTTAATAATAAATATAATATTCTTATCAATTGTAAAATAAATTACTTTACAAAACTATTACATCAACTTGATTTATTAAATCAAATCAATTAAGTTGTTCTAGTTTATTTAACGTACCAATAAATAGTAAATAATAAGATTTATTATACTATCTAAAACTGTTTTATTCCAATATATTAGTTATGTGAAAGTTTCTCTTTCATGATAATTTGTAGGGAAAATGCAAGTTAAAAGCTAAAATACTCATTTATTATTATTATTACTTTATATTTTAAGTTTTTTTTTTTTTTTGAAGACATGGATTTTTCATAAGTAGCTTTGTGGTAGGCCTAAAGCTGTCGGGCCTCGGTGCAAAAAGCTCTCCACTTTCTAACTCAGCAGCCCACGCTCCACGCTGGGATTGGCACGTGGGATGGCCATACGGATGAGAATGACCATGATTGTGAGTACTGACCCTTCCACATCAACCATGTTTTCTGTGGGCATATTATGAAAGCCTTTTCTTCATCCTACGATATGTGGTTCGACTTGTAAAAGACGTGGAAGAAAGAATAAACATTACTAGTAATACACAAATCGAGTGATAAATACGAATTGTTAAAATCCAAATACATTGAAGTTGAAGTTTTTAGAAAGAATTCTGTGTAGCAAAAAGTTAACGAAAGTCGGTAATCGCCTCATAATTTTCTGAGAAGTTGTTATTTATAACTAAATAAAAATTGTTCTTAATTGCTTGGATCACGTTTTGTTTTTCCGAGATTTGAATGGTAGAATTTGAATTAATCAATATAAAATGAGTTTAAAAGATAAAGTGCATTATTTTGAACTAAATTATTTCGACTTGCAATAACATAAAAAATAAATAAATAAATAACAATTAGACATTCTTTAGTATATTTCTAAACTTAAAAAGCTAATTGTTTTTATGCATCCCAAAATTAAGGTATGAGCATCGCTTATATTAGAATACTCAAATCTATTCTTATAAAAATAACGTGTTCGATTGATGAAAAATAAAATATTGATCTCATGAATGATAAATTATTGTTTCTTTGTGGGAAAAAAACAAAGATCATATGAATCTATATTAAAATTTTGTATAAAAGTTTGTTTGTATAGAAAAATTGTTAACATTTTTTTATTTATATAGTAACATGGTAGTTAGTTTAGCACATATAGGTCGATAGACTATAGTTAAATTGGCATTAATATCTTTTCTTCTTTTAAAATATTTTGAGTTTGAATCTTTATTAGCCAACATTATAGAAATATAAAATTGAAAAAATAATTCATTCCATAAAAACACGTATCCTCATAAGATATAAATATAAAAGTAATTGGTTATAAAGTATCTTAAACTACATGAGAAAAGTCTCTAATCTTTTTATTCTGAATTGAGTTCTCAACTTTTTTTTTCCAGCATGTAATTAGATATTTTTGTCCGTTTAACTAATTTTTGTCACAATTTACCCTCGTAAAAGACATGTGTTGTTGTTTTGTGTTCCCATGTTTTATGTTTAGGACTTCTAAAACATATATCATTATTTTAATGATTCTACATACATCTAATGTCATCTGAAATTAGTCAACATGTTAGAAAAATTTAATAATGATCTAAAAGGAAAGGTTGGAGAACTAATTTTTTTTAAAAAAATAAAAGTTATGAAATTTTATAATTCATATTACTTTATAACCAATTAGTAAAATATAAATAACAAAAAAGCTGCATGTATTTACAGTGATGCCACTAGTTCTTGTATCATTGGTGACATCAAAATCGTTATATGTAGCATAATTCATAAAATGGTCCTCATTTCATATTAATCAAAGATAGGATACCTAACTCAATTATTAAATATGGAAATCTCTCAAAAGAAGAAGAAGAAGAAGATGAGGACGACTTCTCATCAAGAAAAATAAAAAAGAAAGTAAGAAGTGATTGATTTCAATGTTGAACCTTAAAGTGAATTATTATGGTGTTAACAAACATAAAACCTGGATTTCCGGAATATGCAAAATTGTGTTTAAAGGTTTCGCTTTGCATATCCTACCTCTGTCCTTCCTGATACTGTGATTTGTGCCGGCATCTGTAAAGGGATTGACATGGCGAGGGAATAAGTACATTTATTGATTTGATATTATATTTGTTGCAAGAAAATGATATTGCAATGTTAATGACATTTTTTTTTTTTGAAATAGGGAGGAAAGTGATCAGTTTGTTCAGCACATTACTGTTTAGGATCAAATTTAAAGATTAAAGAGAAATAATAAGAAAATAAATTTGGTGCGAATCTATGTTAGGATATGAGTGTGAATGATTTATCTAAGATTATGAAGGAATTCATTAATTTCATGTATAAAATTTGATTAAAATGAATAAATAATAAAAGCTGTTATATACGTAATATTTGTTTAACAATTCATACCAAATCAGATCTTTTAGCCATTAGCCCTATCTTTTAATCTGTTTTGCTAAAAAAAATGTATTTCTTATAAGAAAAACTCCATGCTTAAATTTAAAGTTTTTTTTATGCCTAATTCCAGGATTCCATTTTATTAGGAGGAAAAATAAATGGTAATTTAACTCGAACCCAATGGATAGTATCTGAACCGACTTGAATTGGTATAGTTTTATATATATGGGGTATGGATTTCTAAAATTATTATTCGTTTGATAATGGATAAAATAAGAATATCATCAAATACGATTTAAAAATTCGATCCAAACCCAAGCCATATGTATCCCTTAAATATATTTATTATCCTTTTATTTTATGTTAAATAATAAATAGTAGTCATACATGAATATCCAAATCCAAATTTCTCACTCGATGAGCAATGGATGGTGTAAGAATACCTGAGACCTGATGCACGGGTATTCATTGCCATCTTTAGTTCGTACACACACAAAGTCATACCTATTGGATTAGGGGATTAGCTTGGTGGTTGGGAAGATTGACTGTATTATTTGACTTTCCTAAGTTGGAACTTAAAATCAACATCCTGTGATCGATATAGAAAGTGTGTCTTCGAAATCACTTGAGGGACATTTAGTCTCAATTAATGACAATCAAACCGGTTCTAAAATATTCTTTATTGTTAAAAAAACAAAAAACAAAAAACTACATATTAGATTATTAGTAACTCAAAGGGATAGATCTAGTGGCCAAGAACAAAAAGGTTTATCAATTCCCTCAACTTTCTAAATTCAAATTTTAAATCTAGAACTTAATTGTACTATGAATGAAGTAGTGGGAATAAAAATAAAATTCTTATTTCAATTTTATAACTTGTTTGATTAAAAAAAATAAAATGAAAATGTGAATAAAAAGTCAAAATGTAAATAACACTTGCATATAGCTTCATTCTCTTCATTCTCGTATGAAAATGAGAATAAAAATAAATTTTTTTTCTTTAAAATAATAATATATTATTTTTATGTATTATATATTAATTACTTCTATCATCGTTACAACCACCACCACCATCTCCAATGGTGGTGGTGATAAAAGAAATTATTATTATTATTATTATTATCCTATCACCAATAGTCTTTCATTATTATTGCCATCACTTTTATTGTATTACTATCATTATCACTATCATCATCACTCTTCTTTCAATACTACCTTTTATGATGATAGTATTAATTTTTTAAAAATATATTATTGTTATTATTATATTTTTTTTACTACCATCTCTTTTTTGTCATCTTCCTACTTGCCAACACCACCACCACCACTGCTACTACAATCACTTTTATTATTTCTTTTATCATTATAGTAGATGAAATTATTTTTTAATCATTATTTTTATTTGTATTAAAAATCATATGTTAAAAAAATGAGAATGCAAATATCAATCCAATTTTCTAATTTTTCATTTTGATTTACGTAATCTTATTTCGAAACTTTTATTTTTGATAATCAAACGATACTTTACAAGAATAAAATAAGATAATATAATCTCGATTAACACATAGAGAAAAAATTTGAATGATAATAGATTCTTTTTATTAGTACAATACAATATTAGCTATATTCACAAAATATAAATTTAAAAAAAAAAACAGTATTTTAAGTTTTTTTATATAATAATAATTTGTTTTTTGTTTTTAAGTGGGCAAAACAAAATAAATTGGGATAAGTCTAGTTGATGATGAGGACTTTTAAAACATCATGTGCATGTGCAAGGCTGATTTTCTTGACTACATAAGTACATATGCTATCATGAACAAGTTGCATGCATTGATAAAAGTTACTATATATTTATCTTACATGATAACCTTTCCAGCCATGAAAAATAAAGATGTTTGAATTTTTTTTATTCCCTGAGCCTTTTGAATTTTAAGATTTCTTTTTATCTAAAAGGTGCACCTAATAATTTATTTTTCTGATTCTTAGGCTTAGCACTTTATATTATTTAATTTAAAGTTCCGAAAAAAAAACATAAAGCGCACAAGATTTGAAAGAGTACAACATTTTGTGGAGAGTGGGATTTGAACCCACGCCCTTTCGGACCAGAACCTTAATCTGGCGCCTTAGACCAACTCGGCCATCTCCACTTTGTTGCCTGGCCACTGTAGACAGTAACTTAACATAAAATCTATAATAAATCAATTGTTCCAAGAAGTCGAGGATTGAAATGGCCTATATGTGAAGGCTGAAGAGCGCGGAACTGGTTGTTCTGATTCGAGGTTGCATCCAAGTTTACCAACCAGCAAAAGCAAGTTAAGACCCTTGTATGTATAGTGTGTATATTCATTATAGTTAACGTTTTGGACCCCATCTAGCTTGCTAGATTGTGCTACAATCATGGAGTCTTAATCTCAAGGTTAGAGTGATGGAAAATGAGGAAGCTGACATAGGGCTTGTGGGTTGTGAGAAAGTTCCGGGAGACTTCAATCAAGAATCAAGGTGATGCACACATTTAGCTTCCTAGCTATATATAATGACCAACACGGCCAATAGTTTAGTGGTGGGGATTTGTTGATAGAGGTCACTAAGGACAATGATATATATTTCATGGACTCCAACTAAGCATCTCTAGCACCGTTGTTCTTAGCTAACTAGGGTCCCCGTGTTTGAGCTAGAAAGATGGTTCCTTTAAAGTTGCCTACCCAGGTTTTTTTTCTTTTGCACCCATCGATAACCCTACGTGCAGGTCTCACCAGCTGGTTCATTTCATCATATATATAAGACCTAACTAATAGCACTACGTACTAATTCCTTTTACCTGACCAATCATGAGTGTCTTACCTTGGACCGATCCATGATGAAGCAATTTATTGGGAAAAAGACGATGCATGTTCCTGATTTTTGTAGGGGTTTGGCTGGAAATTAAGAATTTATAGTGTCAGTGTCAGTGTTCTTATTTGTTACTAGCTAACTACCATACATTTGTAAGGCCCATTAGCTCTCAAATTAATGGTTATCGATCGCTATTCATGTGCAGTACTGTGTGTTTCAAAG